AGAGTCCGTAAATTCTTGCAGTTGCACAAGGAACTCGGAATTAGTGGACCTTCGGGTGCAAACATTAATGTCAAATGACGAACCTTCTTATATCCATCAAACTCCATTATTCTCTTATTATTACCACCCTCAGCCTCCAAAACTAAGCATTCATTCTTAGTTAGAAATTGTAGAAAGTCATGCACAACATCATGCATCTTGCACTGCGTTATATTTCCAAGTTCATCTTTCTCAAATTCTTGAAAGAAAGAGCGCATTACTAAGTTATCAAAGTACATTTCGCCTAATGCTTCTTTTTCTTTGTTTCCGATTGAATTAAGATAATTTTGTGACATCCACAACTCAATCAACTCATCTTTGACAATGTTATAATCTTTTGGGAAAATCACACAATACAAAAGACAACGTTTAATTGCCGGGGCCAAATCATAATAACTTAATAACAGTGGTTGGAAAACTTGTTCCTCAACCACATCTAACTCCCATATCTTACTATTCAAAACGTCTTCCCATTCTTTCCTCTTTTTCTTGTAGCGCATGAGACCACCCAATGTCTTTGCAACAAGGGGCAGGCCCTTGCACTTTTTGACAATTTCTTTACCAATAAATTCTAACACTTTAGACTCATTTTTTTCTCTATCAGCCAGTGCAATGTGATAGAACAATGCCCTACAATTTTCTTCACTCAACACCTCCAAATTGACCATATCAGTGGATGCTCCCATCATCCTTGCAACATCCTCCCTTCTTGTGGTCACCAATATTCTACTACCCACAGCTCCATTTTGTAAAGCTAGCTCTAATGGTTCCCACTTTGTATAGTCTTTGTTCCACACATCATCTAGGACAAGAAGGAACTTCTTGCCCTTAAAAGACTCGTGTATAAACTCCAAGAGTGTTTGCAACTCATTTGAAGCTGGGGTATTCCACTTTTTCAGGCCCTTAATGATGGCTTTGGCAATTTTGATCTCATCAAAAGGATCTGAGACACAAACCCATATTCTAGTGTTGAAATGAGCTTGAACCTTTTCATCATTATAGGCAAGTTTGGCAAGAGTTGTCTTGCCAATTCCTCCTATCCCTATAATAGGGATGACAAGGCAGGTCGCCTCTCCTTGACTACTCTTACTCAGCAACTTTTTTACTAATATTTCCTTTTCGTCGACTCGACCAAATGTCTTATCAACGAAAGAAGAACTTTTTTGTCGTTCAATTTGTTCAATTCCTCTTTTCATGTATTGAAAGTTATAGTTTTGTCTTTCACTAGCAATCAGAGCTAATCTTTCATTCAGTTCTTTTATCTTCACAGCAATGTCACGACGAAGAATTACTTGACGGACTTGGCCAAAACAAAACCAAGGGGCAGGAATGCAGAAACATACCTTATTGGTAGTACTAGTACTACCAGCATTACCGGCTTCTTTTTCTTGTTTCAGAATTTCAGTATTCCACTCGTCTAACACGTCGTCCATCTCGTAGGATACATCCTTCAAACTGTCCAGCCAGTATCTCACAGCCACCTCCTTCATTTGCCTCTCCTCTGCATTCTCGAGCACAACTTTAATAGCTTTGAAATTGCGGGTGAGTTTTGCCACTTCTTTCTTAACATCCATAACTGGTGTGACCTCTTGTTCTACTTTTGTTTTTATGATTGAGGCCAACTGTTCTAGGAGCACGGAAATGAGTGCTTCAGCCATTTGTTTGCTCTAGAAATGGATTTCTAGTGGAAGAAAAAGGGAAAGAGGAAAAGGAAGAAATCTTTAATGCAAATGATAACAAGGTACGTAGTGTTGGGAATTGGTGTAGGCATTCTCATTTCTCCCCAGCTAGTTTTATAATGTTGAGGCTGATGAAGAATGCTTGTAAGTCAATTCAGGCACCACGACGACAACAAACACACACTTGCCAATCAACAAGAATAGAATTTATCTCTTCCCTAACTTGTTTGTTTCTTCTCTTTTAATTCCTTACTTTTTCTTTCCCCTACCTTGTTCCCTTATTCTTTTCTTGTTTTCTTGGTCGAAGCATCCTCCAAACAGCCTCTTATTCGAAAACTGAAAAAATTTGATGGCTTCTTATCTCCTAAGTGAAGTTGAAATCGACAAGTTGTTTTTCCTTTTTTTCCCGATAAGCTAAAAACCAGTGAGGTCTTGGCTAGTTTTATAAGAACAAGACTGGAGAATGTTGCTTGTAAGCAAACATCATAATATTCATCTGTGGTAATTGGTAAATTGGATTTGATGCTGCTATTAACCATTTGGGTGAATTTGACTTTGCATACCTTAAAATTCACCCATATGGTTAAGAACTTCTTTGACACGTTTACAACTCAACGTCCATCAAGTATAAATGTGCTCTCCCCAGCAATTTCCTTTTTGGTATTCCATTTCATGATAGAGGGGCAAAAAGGAGAATTTAAGTTGTAAGGGCAAACCCAATGATTGTGGCTCTAAGAGCACTTCCACTTAGGGGTGGGCGCGGTCCAGTGCGGTCAAGTTTCTACCTCAAACCAAAATCAGAACCGGTACTACTTAATTGGTCCAATTTGGTCCGATTTTAGTTAAAAAAAATATGAAACCAGCTAGTTAGATTTGAACCGATTTTGGTGCGATTTCGATCCGGTTCGGTTTTGGACCGGATTTTTATTTTATTTTATACCAATTTCAACTAAAATTTCTTTTTTGGGCTTGAAAATTAACAAATGATCCAATTTCATACAAAGAGAGATATTAGGCCTAGAAAAGAGAAATGTTTTGAAGTTGGGCTTTAGGAAATATTAGTTATGAGATTAAAAATGGGTGAGAATGCATAAAAAAAATTGCTAGGGAAAGCACTATTCACATGAATAGTAAATCTGTACAATGACATGCGTTGTAGCCATCTATATTCAAACAAAGAACACGTGTTATGGTGAAAATAAAAAAACCGAGTTGTTCCATTGACCATTTACATTACAGGATGAATTATGCAAAGATGTACAAAGCAATGATTTTGAAATCATAGATAGCTGACAGAGTAGATGCAAAATACGCAAACTGCAAAAGAAAACAAAATTGGATAACCCATGTTGACGCCAAAAAGTGGTTCTCTGACTTTGAGGGTCAACTTAGTAATTTTATGTCTTCGGTATGCTTGTGGCCTCGGTAGTGTGCGTGATCTGCAATATGGGCAAACGCACGGTAAGACCTAGGGCACCGGTGTGGTACCGGCCAAAGGCTCTCCGATGCTTAAGTAAGTTCGGGAATAGAAAGTTCAACTGACAGATCAATAGGCTTGTATGCCGCAAGTTCTGATTACCTCTATTTTGGGATAGTTGGCCTCCTTTTATAGGCCTTGGGAGGTGTGCATTTGTTGATAGTTTCGATGTGGGACTGTGGACGTCGCTTGGGAGCGTGCCACGTGTCCCAAGAGAGGGCTTTGCCCTAATAGAAGGATCGGTAGGTGGGGTGCCGATGGCACCTCTGATCAAGCCCAATTTCCTCCACGTGTCTTGCTCTCATTGCTTGTTCATTTTGGGCATAAACAGGAGTCCCCCAAGTTCTCGAGCGAGATTTCTCGGTCGGGGACTTGTTTGTCCTTCGGTAGCCTCTAGGTTGCCCTACCGTTCGGTAGCCTGTCAAAGGGGCGTCATGGGCCTTTGTCCTAGTTCCGACTCGTTCGGTAAACTTGCCTGGGAACCCAAGAGTCGCCACTTCGAGGGTTGCCGTTCGGCAGTTTGTGGTATGTTCACGGGTCCCGAGAGAAGCTTGCCGATTTCTTGTTAACTTGGGCGAGTTTGATTTTCTCTCATGTGACTTCGCGCACATCGAGGGGTAACGACGAGACAGGATGACGCTTCGTCTTCTGCACCCAGCGTGCTGTCAGAGGTTCCACTCAGCGCTCGACACGTGGTGTGTCTTATCACGCGGAGTGGCGCCATTAATGCACCGTTTGGTATCCCGAGGAGTACCGTTGCAACTTTCGCCCTATAAATAGGAGGAGTCTCAGAGGCGAAATTCACTTTGCATTTGTGAGTGAGGCGAGAGCTCTGTCCAGGCGATTTCTGACGAGAGCGAACGGTAACATAGGCGATTTTCGGCGAGAGCAAACGACAACACAGGCGATTTCCGGTGACAGCAAACGACAACACAGGCGATTTCCAGTGACAGCAAACGGTACTAGAAGCGATTTGAGCCCTTTCACTTCCAATACACACAAGGTACCGTTCGGTAACTTTGCCGTTTTTATTTCTTCTTTCATTGTGCATACGTCCTTCCATGGTTTGAACTAGACTAGAACTTTATGCAAGTGGGATGTGGTTCGGTAGTCTAGTTGCCATTGGTAGAGACGTAGGCATCGGTAGGATAGTTCCATGCATGGCCCTTAGTTTCCTTCCGTTGCTTTTGTAGATGTCTGATAGCGAGTCGGGATTCGAGAGTGAGCCCAACGCTTTTGAGGAGGAGTCTCCAGATAGGGGAAAGACTACCGATAGTGAAGAGTCAGCCCAGGATACCGATAGCGATAGTGGTTCTGAGGTGGAAGTGGTTGGCGAGAGGGTTAGATCTGTGCCCACTCATGGAATCGGTAAAGGGCTTATGACTAGTCAGCCCTTACTGTTGACGGTCGTGTACAATGACGGTCGGCTGGTTGGCTTGGGCCTGCATTCCGAGCCTGAAGAGAACGTTCGGATGCCGGAGGCATCTTCTAGTCACCGTCCGGAGGCTTCCACTTCAGGCCGTGGAGAGCCTTCCGAGTCACTTCCTATGCCGAGGGTGACGATAGTAAGCAGCGGTAACCAAAGGGTACCGATGGGGGTAGCGAGAGAGCAGCTCTTTGATGTAGACTACCTGCCGCCCAACAAGCTGACCTACCGAGAGCTGGCGAGGATCAGGGAGGAGTTCAAGATTCCCCAATCAGTAGGGATGAGGATCGCAGGCCCTACCGAATCCCTAAGCAACCCCGAGGACGGTGAGGTTGCGTTCTTCACCGACGTCCTTCAGCAGGGCGTTATGCTACCATTGCAGCCTCCAGTTCAGCGAATCTTGGCCCAGATTGGATATGCCCCTGGGCAGTTCAATCCGAACTTCTGGGCCGTTCTG